AATGCTTTCTCCCCCCACTATCATGATCCCAATTCTACCTTACAAATCTGGCTAGACCAGAGGATGTACATTGGTACAGATAGCAACTGGAAACTTAGGGAATCCAGGACAGATGACTCCTTCAGGACCAGTGGTGAGAGGGGCGAGGCCTGAAAGGTGAAGGGAATGTGGAGTAGTAAGGGGAACCGATTACAAGAATATACGTATAGTCTCCTCCCTGGCGGAGGGACAGCAGAGAAGAGGGTGGGGGGAGACGTCGGACAGTGTAACATGACAAAACTATAATAAGTTATGAATTTTGAAGGATTCGTGAAGAAGGGGAGAGTGTGGAGGGAGGGGGAGAATGAGCAACTGCTATTAAGGGCTAAAGTAGAAGGCAAATGTTTTGAGAATGATGAGGGCAACAAATGTACATATGTGCTTGACATAATGGGTGTATGTATGATTGTGATAAGAATTGTATGAGCCCCCAATAAAATAATTTTTTTAAAAAAATAAATGAAAAGACAGCAGAGCCCTGTAATACTGTTCTCGTTGTGTGGTACAGGGTCCACTGGCCTGCTGCTGCTTCCTTTGCTTCTTGCTTAGCCTTGTCTAGTTGCACTTTTTGTGGGACTTCCAAAAGTGTATATTCTTCATTATTTTAACCTCCCAAACAAGCCTGGCTTCTGCTTTTGGATCTTGTTATATTCATATTTTGGTTTGGTTGCATGGTATTGTGAAAAATGCTGAGTCAACCCATGAATATTAAAAATATGGGATTTTCTTCTTTTGTCCTTGTAAAATAGGGGTATTTCACTAAACGAAAAAGGCAGAAAAGCATTATTCAGAGATCTATGCTAAATGAGTAATCTTGCAGGTCAAATGGCCCGCTGTTACTGGGTGCGCTCTGGCTCCTAGAGTTTCCCGGGCTGTACATCTCACGGGAGCTAATGGCTTTCTCTCTGCAGGGGTGACTAGTGGGGCCGCTCAAAGGGTACCCAGTGGCACCACTGATGTTGGAAGACCCAACTTTTTAAGTTGTTTACCCCAAAAAAAGATGTTTACATATGCTATCTTTGAATGCGTGTTTTCCATTTTTAAATTTTTTTGAACATTTACCGAATGTTGTTTGGTTATGTAACTTTGTTCCTGCTCTTTCCATTATAAAACTGAGATACACAGGTAAAATTGTTGCTCTTGCTGATAGAACAAAAAAGTACATGTGTTTTCCTTTAGTGCTACTGATTTATATTAAACTTATCTTGATTTCTTTGTGGTGCTTGTTTTCACAGGTGTAATATTTTCCCTTTTTTTTCTGCTACGTTACTAAACTCAGTGGTATTTTTGCTCTTGTTTTATAGCAAATCACAGATGACGGTCTCATTACGATATGCAGGGGGTGCCATAAGTTACAGTCCCTCTGTGCCTCTGGCTGCTCCAACATCACAGATGCCATCCTGAATGCTCTAGGTCAGAACTGCCCAAGGCTCAGGTAAGACATCTTTTTAGTTAGTATGAAAACAATTAAGTAAGGAAAAGCAACAGAATCTTTCTTCATCTATATTTATTCCTGGAGATCTTGAAATGTAAAGTACTTGCTAGACGATTACCCTTTCAGCTGCCCATGTGGGTGCTTTGTACCTATGTGATTATATGTCCTTCTCACTAATCAGCTGTCTTATTACACAACATTTCAAATTTATGACTATAGTAAAAAAATTTGCCAACATATATCTGGCAATAACAAATTCAAGATTAGAAGTAAGAATAACACTGCTGTGATGGTCATGGTAATACGTCAGCTTAGCTGAACCGTGATTCTCTGTGGTTTAATAGTGATGTAATGATGTTATCATACTCCAATTTGTGATTGGATCTAGTCATCCTTAATTCTACTTTGTGCTTCTCGTACTAGAAAAAAGCGATTTTATTTCACTACTTAAAAAAGAAAGGCATTTTCCCCTTTACTAAATATGGAATATACCATTCATTTTATATACAAATAAAAAATATAAAAAATAGTTTTTTGAGTATAAGAAAAACTTCAATTTATAGAGGTGCTAAATGTGAAAACATAGACATCTTCCTATTGAGTCAATATAATAAATTATATATTTACAATATAGTAGATTATTATATATGTACTATAAAACCTGTGAGAACCAGAACTCAAAGGTACCGTCTTGTTTTTCAAAACCTTACAAATTTTCCACTTTTTTAGCATTTTATTGTTTGTGCAAACGTTTGAAGAGCAAACTAAGTTTCTCGGTCAATAATGTGTACACCTTTTGTTTCGTGCCATGTGTTACAGCCCTCTCTGTGTGACAACACTCTTCCCATGTCCATAGGTCGTCTCTCCTGCCCCTTCCTGACTTCCGGACTTTGTTTTTTATGCAAAGATTGCCCTTCTGATTTTGTGTAGTTGAGTGTGGTGAGAAGCCATTCCTCACAGGTATCATTGGTCACTTGATCAGCCTCTGTAAGAGCATGGAGGCCGCATTTGACCTCCACTGACTTCTCAAGGGACAAAGAGAATCAAACTGCATAGCATCACCCTCCAGTCTTCTAACCAATTCTGACAGCTGCCAGTCTTCCCATAGCATTACTTCTCAGCAGAGTTCAATACTTGATTGCACTGTCCACACAGAACCCATAACCTATACTCTCCATGATGGGGTTATAATTCAGGATCATAAGTGCTCAGTACAATTCTAGTCAGGACTGCCTCTTCTCTACATGCCCACAGCCAGGTCTCTGGCCCTTGGCCTCTTAGCCTCTACATTGCTTAGGTAGTATAGACAAAATTCTCAGGTGGATGGTGCTCCCTCTTAATTTGGGTCAGAAAATAAAGTGCCTGGAGGCACCCCACTGCATAAACAAGCCTCCTGTCCAAAGACCCTCAACATTATAAACTCCATGGCCCAGGAAGTCACCACTGTCGTTCTCTGGTTCTTGGTTTTGCCCATGCCACAGTTTCCCGATCCAGGAGGTTCAACGTGCAGGGTTCCTGGTGTTGAAACAACATGCTCTATTCCTGTCTCCTCTTTCTTTGATGATAGTGAGATGCCCCCCTTCTGTGGAGATGACTCGTTTTATGCAGAGCAGGATGGCAAAAACGACCAATCCCCATTTAAAGGTTCGGGTTTTTACAATCACAGCTCTATTAACAAAATTACAGCAATGATATAATCCTATTATCATCTTTCCCTACCCTTTCTTACTCAGAGCCATCAAGAAAAAGTCATTTTGGTCACTGTATCACAGGTCATCCGGCTTACTAGCAAATTATCCCTTTCATACATGAGGGTTAAATTTTCCCTCACCATCAGTTCAGTTTAACTGAGCACACCCATGAAAGTCAGCCAGTTCACACCTTTATCTTACCTTCCTCTCACATACCCAATCTTCTGTCCAGTTAGAGCATTAGCGATGAAAGACCATCCCAGTAAGCCGTCCAAGTGTAGTAGTTTATCACCAGCCCACCGTGGCAAACTAACGATCTTAATGTGGTTGGGTCCTTGTCAGGTGGGTACCAGCTGCTAGCTTGAGAGTCCACAGGCACTTCAGATCAGCCAGGCCTTTCTCTCGTGCATCCCTAGCCCTGGGGACAAGGTCAGTGCCAGTAGGCTCAAGATGGCACACAACTGCCTAGACATCAGATCAGCCAGTCCTTCCTCTCCGCTCACATCTCTAGCTTCTGTGGACCAGGTCTATCTCTGTTGCCGCCACCAACTCCCCCACTTCCAGTTAGCAAGTGGACCCGTATTGTCACCAGACAATGTACTAGGCTGTATGCTTACCGCATCCTTTTTAAACTTTCAGTCCTAGAATTGGATTTTCTCTCTGAAGAGAAAAGGATCTTTGGGATTGCAACTGGAGATGTGATAGTTATGAGTGATTGTTAACAGAGTTCATTGTGATTGTAAAAACTTAGAACTCTAGCAAGGAAGTTGGTGAGTTTGTCATCTAGTTTTAAAATGAGCCGTCTCAGCAGCAGAAAGGAGGAGCTCACTCCCATCAAGAAAGAAGCTGCAAGAGTGGAGCACATCCTTTGAGGACGCCAAGACACCGCACATTGGACCGCTTTGACCCAGAGATGAAAAGATGTCACGCCAGAGGAGAGGCAGTACCAGAGCCAGAGGGGTAGACCTCCTGGTTCTTGGGTCCGGTGAAGAGGAGTGCCTTTGGGCAGGAGGTTTGCTCGTGAAGTAGGGTGCCTCCAGGCATTTAATGGAGGGAAATAGCCTTGCTGACCCTTGGACCTAAAGCTGCTGAGGGCTTTCAGACCGAGGCTGATGGTGGACTGGCATTTTATCAGCAGAACTAACAAGCCTTGTTGGTTGCCTGAGCAGGGCCTGGCCTAGAGCCAGAAAGAGAGTACCCTTGACCCTTGCGCACCTCTCACCATCTTCCTTTGCCTTTTTGCCTTCTTTATGCCCTGCTGGCCATCCCTTTCACTGTTGCCTTCCCCTTCCTCCTTCCTGCTATCCCTACTAACATCAAATAATATTTATGTTTTCTGTGCACAAACTTGACTTTTAATGATGGTGGTCTCCTAATACTCTTTTGTAATTGATTTATTTCACATAGTATAATGTCCTTGGGGTTCAGCCACTTTATGAAAATGTTTTACAGATGCATCATCATTCTTGATAGTTGCATATTATTCCATTGGAGTACCGTCAGAAAGGATCCAGTTCTAGTGTCCTCTCCCTCAGAGGTTTTTGCAGGGAGCCTTGGTGGTGTAGTGGGCTACTCATCGCGCTGCTCACCGAAAAGGTCAATGATTCGAACTTACCACTCACTCCTTCAGAGTGAAATGAGGATGTCTTCGCCCTCCCATGAAGATGTTAAAAGCTCTAAGGGGCCTTTCTGTATCCTATAGGGTGGCTGTAGGTTGGAATCAACTCATTGATTGGCAGTGGGGAGTGGGGATCTGCTATCAAAAAAAACCCACCTCTTTCAAATTGATTCCAGCTCACAGTGACCCTCTAAGCCAGGGCAGAACTGCCCTTCTGGGTTTCCAGGACTGTGAACTCTACGGGAGTAGAAAGCCTTATCTTTCTCCCAGGAGGGCTGGTGGTTTCTAATGGCTTATCATGCAGTTAGCAGCCGAACACGTGTCCACTGCACCAGGCTCCTAGGGATCTGCTGGGCCAGTTAAACAACTTTCTAGGCTGACTTCTTTGCCTTGAATTTAATAGGGAGTTGCCTGGCCAATTCAATTCGAGGCGGAGAATTCAGCTTAGACCACTATGGTGGCTCTTTATTTAGGAGCCCGAAGCATGAACTTGATAGATTGAAGGGTGACACAAGGCAACAACTAAGGCAACTTTGGACGAAAATTGAAAATTGCATTGGTGAGAAAAAGACCAGAAAAGTTGTGCTAAGGAATTCTTTCCATCATGGCAGTGTGCCTGCTCATTCTCAAAGGGTAGCAAGGGTTGTCCTATGAGAGTTTCATTGGGAGACCTATGGGAGACCTGTTCATTTCTAATTGATTTTTAGTTGTTAATGATTTTCGTATATTCTATGTAAGTATGGGATTTCATACTTGGAACAGACCTGTAATTTAGCAGCCCAGTCAGTAATTTTAAGAAGTGGATTAAATTTGAATTTGAATGATCCTGTTTGTAAAATAAGGAGGAAGGATAATTAACTTCAGCAAAAGATGAACCCTAACAGGGTATTTATCTCTATTCCTTTGTTTTGTAGGGCAGGCTGCCCTCTGGGGTGAGCAGTATGCCAGCAAGAAGGCTTTTGAGTGTATTTCTCATGCTTTTTAGCACTAACTACAAACTTCCTGTATGCTTTTCCTGTGTCCTTTGATTTCGGCCTCCTGAATGGTGGTATTTACAGGACTACTTATGGACGTTATTGAAGATCTGTGTGTAGAACTCGTTTAGTTGTTAATATCACAGTAGTATGTAGTCTTCCAGGAATAGGGGGGTTATCTTTTTAAGTTATTGCTGTTTTAATCATCTTAGTTTTCGTTGACCATGGATTTGACTTGTATGTTGTTATTGTTTTTAACAGAATATTAGAAGTGGCAAGATGTTCTCAGTTAACAGATGTGGGCTTTACCGCTCTGGCTAGGGTAAGTGTTTTTTCTCTAGTGTCCCTAGGGTTGTTTGGGTTTTTAATTCAGTAGAGTGAACAGCACGGATGGCGTGGAATGGCGCATGGGTGGACTCCTCTCCAGCTGTGTCCCTCAGAAGTCCCAGGGTCCAGCTCTAACAGTACACACATGCATTAGAACAGTGGTTCTCAACCTATGGGTCACGACCCCTTTGGGGGGTTGAACGACACTTTCACAGGGGTCACCCAATTCATAACAGTAGCAAAATGACAGTGATGAAGTAACAACGAAAGTAATGTTATGTTTGGGGGTCACCACCACATGAGGAACTGTCTGAAAGGGTGGCGGCCTGAGGAAGGCGGAGAACCCCTGCATTAGAGAATATGTTGCTCCTTCAAGAGATTTGAGTCACCAGTTTTCTTTCACTTTTTAACAGTTTTATTGGGACATAATCCAAATATCATACAGTTCAATAGTTCAATCATAGTTGTGCAATCATTCCCACAGTCCATTTTAGAATATTATCTTCTTGTGCCCCTTGTCATTAGCACCCCTTCTTCCCCCCCAACTTCCTCTGCCATATCCCCCAAGAAACCCTTAACTAAGCTTCTTTACACGTCCATCTATCCTGAATTTCACACTCTGAAAAACAAAAAATAAACTCAACAAAAGCTAACAACAATAGCAAAATAAAAGAGGGAGAAAAGCAGTTGAAAAGAAAATGAAAATATTTAAAACTAGAATAACTTTAAAATGGGTCAAAAGCTAGATCAAATGATAAGGTGTTAGATTTTAACCTAGCTACATCTTCCATAATCCACTTTCCATTGCTCTCTTCATGACAGCAAAGCTATTCACATCCCTGATCAGTGTTCAGAGGGAATTCACCAGAGCCTCAATCCACATTGCAGTTCTTCGCCTTTTCCAACTGAGAGAACTTTTCAGTGGGTCAAAAGGGGTCCACAATTTAAAACAGTGACTTAAACTAAGATGGGGCTTGTGGTGCCTTGTGAAACAAATAAGTTACTTAGTACAGTTAATTTACTAATATATGAGAGATAGATGAAGCTGATTTTGAAAGAAACAAAGTCTGGTCTTAAATGGAGAGGTCTCAAGGAATTTTTTTTGTATTCTCTAGAAGGTTTTCTGCACCACTCAGGGCCATTTGTAAATTGTTGTATTTAAATTATACTGTCTTTAACCAGTGTAATGGGACAAAGGGGAAGACATTTGATTTCAGGCCAAATGATGGAATGTCAATTGAATGTGGCCAACACATGACATAGCCAAATCTCTCCCAAAGAAATCATTTTTATTACTTTAATTGTGCTCGGAAAGTACTTCGTACTAGTCCAGCAGTGTGGACATCCAGGAAATTGGACTTACAATGTGTAAAATACCCTAGATGTGGAGTATGTAGGAAATCCCACTGTGATCAAGGCTTTTTAAAGGTCAGAAGTGACATTAGAATGACAACCCCAAAATTCATCAGTATATTAAATATTAAAGTAAGAGGCAATATCTAGTAATGCCTCTTAATCTTGAATTTCCCCCATGTTTTAAATGTTTGCAGTGTAATATTTGGTTTCATACTTTGTAGAATTGCCATGAACTTGAAAAGATGGATCTGGAAGAATGTGTTCAGGTAAGATTATAGAATTTCATTAAGAAATATGGGGTGGTAGAAATGTGCATCATACCAAAACATCGAGATGTTTGAGTTTCTTCTCTGGTACAGGACATTATATGTCGTGCTTGAACACTTAATACTGCTGATTCTACGCTCACTGAAGTGCCCTCCACACATGTCAGACGGGGACGTGCTCATGGTATATGCTTAAGAGGGATGAAAATAGGTGCCTTCAAGAAAGTTGTCATTGCAGAGACAGGAGGCCCAAATTTTAGTCCTTGATGACTAAACGTTTCCTTAGACCTGAGGAGTTGTGACATTCGTAAAGAGGGAATTCACAGACCTTTGCCTCTTTTGTAGTTGGGTTCATTTTAGCGGATGCCAATGATAGCTCATTGTTATTTTGATCTGGTATTTCCTTAATGACTAATGATATTGAGCATCTTTTCGTGTGCTGATTGACAGCTTTGGCAGAGCTCTGGTGGTACAGTGATGTCAGGTGCTCAGCTGGTGACCAGGGTCAGCAGTGCAAACTCAGATTGCAGCCTGGAGTGCTCCACTGAGGCAGTTTCCCTCCGTCCTGTAGGGTTGCTGAGTCAGCCTCAATCCAGCGGCACACAACGGCACGGGGCTGTTTGTACTCCTCTGGAAAACATCTGAATGCTGCATTTTAATGGTCTATTCAGTCCACTGCCCATTTTTTTATTGTTGTTTCTTATCTTGTTATTGATTTATAAGAGTTCTTTATATAGGTTACTAAATCATTATCAGATACATGATTCCATAAACATTTTCTCCCATTTGCAACAATGTTTTTAATGGTAAAAATAAAGAGGAAGATACTTTTGGAATTATAAACCAAAATCAACAGTGTCTTCAGGTGTCTTCTGACTTATAATGATTGTGTCATAGTGTTCCCAAGGCTGAAACCCTTAAGGAAGTATACCACCACATTTTTCTCCACAGCAGCTGGTGGGTTCCAGCCTCTGAGCTTTTTTTGGTTAATGACAGAGCACTTAACCACTATGCCACCAGGATTCCTCTCTGGGTCTATCATGGCTACGTGTATTTAATTACTTGGCAGCTAAATGAAAGCATCCATCCATCCCTTCCACCTGGCTAAGTGTCCTCTGTGTCCTTCCCAAAAGTCTTCAGTCCTTCTGAATAGTGCACATGACTATTTATGTTCTCCAATCCCATTTCATAGCCCCTGTTTATAAGTGTTCAGTAAAAATTAACAATCTCATCCTTGGAGGAAAGTTTGAAAAGAGGTACTGATTTACTGTCACTTATAACTGGAAAAGACTGCCCTTCCTGCTTGTGTGTTCCTACTTAACAGAGACTCCAGCAGCTTCCAGCGATGTTACTGCTGTTAGGTGCCACGGGTCGGTTCCATCTTAAAGAACCCTATGTTATACAGAGCACTAGTGTCAGTCCATCTCTCCCACTGACCCTCTGCCAGACATGATGTTCTTCTCCTGGTAACATGTCCAAAATACATGAGACCATCCTTGGTTGTAAGAAACATTCTGGCTGTATTTCTTTCAAGCTAGAATATGCCTGCCAACCCATTGGTATATTCAATATTCTTTGTCAAAACCATAATTCGTTTGGAAATAACATGGCTTGGGTCAGGCACACCATAATCCTCAAAGTGATAACTTTGCTCCTTGACACTTAGAGGGTATAGCATGCCTTATAAAATACATGCTAGATAATCTAAAGATTTGATGATGTACTTAAATGTTTTAACTTTTTATTGTGGATTAGATAGGGGTCTACATTTCAGATCAACATTTTTTTATTCAACATCACCTGCTTATCACACCTCCTAGTAGCTTGCCCTGCTCCTCTCACCCCCTTTTTTCCCTTTCATCCTCTTAAAAAGTACTTTACTTCCCTTCACCAAGTTCACACCACTTACCCTCTGGCTTATTGTTTTTCCTTCCCACCCTACGTGTGTTAGGGTTCTCTAGAGACAAAACCAGGACACTAATGATTATATTATATACATATGTATATGTATCTATCCATGGATATGGATAGATATTTACAGCACAAAGTAGTAGAACAGCTAATTAGTCCACACAGCAGTACAGAGGGCTCTGTTCAACTCACCACGAGGTCCAAGGTCAACGAAACCGACAGCTGAGTCTTCCATCTGGCAATGTAGGCAGTCAGCAAGACAACAGGATCCAACAGTCCCAATCTCAAGTGATGTTTACAACAGCAGTGTGGGGAAGCAGGTCTTGAACTGCAAGCTCAAGTGACGCAATCCAGGGTTGGCAGTCCCAGTGGTAGTGTAGCTCACAAGTTGAAGCACAGATCTAGCAGCCGCATTGCTGGTCTAATCTCCAGTGAGAGAGAGAGGGAGGGAGGGAGAGGGGTGGGGCTTGCAGAGCCATTTATCTCTTTACCCTCCAATCAAACTGCGACCTTATTAATCCCACATGTTCCTATTGACCAGGTTGGCACAATAAACCTACCAATCACACCAGGTTTCGTTTTGTTTGGTACTGTGTTCATACCATGTATTAAGGCCCTTAAGTTTGTCCTTATTTCCTTATTAATGATCTTTATAGTTCTAGGGTTTACATTTAAGTCTTTAATCCATTTTGAGTTTGTTTTTGTAACATAGTGAGGTATGGATCCTATTTCATTCTTCTGTAGATGGAAATCCAATTTTGCCAGTACCATTTGTTAAGATAGACCGTCTCTTCCCCATTTAATATTTTCCAGGCCTTTGTCAAGACCAGATGTCTGTAGGTGGATGAGTTTATTTCTTGATTATCTTTTCTGTTCCATTGATCTTTCTGTCTATTGTCCGTTCCAGTACCAGCTGGTCTTAGGTTTAATGTCGGGACGTGAAAGGCCTCTTGCTTTGTTCTACTTCTTAAGTAACAGTGTTTTGTAGTTATCTCTGTATGGCCTTTTGTTTCTCTGGCTAGGGTTATTCCTAATTATTTCCTTTTTTGTGTGTATTATAAATGGATTGTTTTCTTGATTTCCTCTTTAGAGTTCTCTTCCTTATACCCTGCTATGTTCCCGCATCTTTCAATTATTTCCAACAATTCTCTTTTCCAATCTTCTGGATTTTCTACATATAGAATCTTATCATCTGCAGGTAGAATTCTTCTTTGCCACTTTGGATGCCTTTTGTTTGTTTTATTGTTGTTTATTAATTCTGGCTAATATTTGATATTGAGTAAGTATTGTGATATAAAGCATTCTTGTCTAGTTCCTGTTCTTAAGGGGGAATTTGTTCAGTTTCTTCCTTTGGAGCAAGATGTTTAGCCATTGGTTTTGCATATTGACCTTTGTTATGTAGAGCAATTACCCATCTATGTCTATTTTGCTGAAAGTTTTTATCAGGAATTGGTGTTAGATTTTTGTCAAATGCCTTTTTTGATTTATGCATATTTGATCATGTAGCTTTTTTTCCTTATTTAATTTTTTCCCCCATGAAACTGCTCAGGAGGTTACCATGTTATCTGGAGAAGAACATGATAGGTGTTATGCCTACTGTTGGTGGGATCGCATGGAACAGGTTCACATAGCCAGATGAGTTCTCAGCCTGAATATTCTGTTGTTCATTGATTGCTTATAAAGAAGGTCAGGATAGAAATGTAGTCAGGAATGAGTCCGTGATTTGATTTGGAACTCTGCCTACAATAAACTCTTTTGTTTCTTTTAGATAACAGACAGCACGTTAATCCAACTTTCTATACATTGCCCTCGTCTTCAAGTATTGGTAAGTTTGGCTTTCTACGTTTTTTGTTTTAACTTTTCAAGACTTTATTTTGATTTTATTGACAGTTTTATTGGCATACAATTCACATATCATACAGTTCAAAAGAGTTATCCAGTCATCACCACAGTTTTAGAACATTTTTCTTTTTTTTCTTTCATTCTTGTACTCATTATTTGCTCCCCAATTCCCCCCCAAACTCTTGACCTTCCAAGTTTTATGTTTATAGTTAGCTATCACTTTCCAGTGAAGAGAGAAGCATAGTTAAGAATTAGAAAAGTTAGATATTTTCTATATCAATGCTTGGAGCCTAGCAGCTGCATGGAGCGTGTGAAGACACCCGTCTGACTGATGTTTGCTTACATTTCCAGAGAGTCGTGCCCTAAGATGGGTTTGCTTCACCTCTGAGCTAAATGTTTCTGGGAAGCATAACCAGGTATCGGCTGATCGAGGGAGACCGACTTTGTACTGCTTCCAGAGGGCATTTTGATTGGCTGTTCACTCTAGACTCTCATGTATTTGTTGGTCAAGTACTGTAATAAAGTGGGGTCAAGCCTTAAAAGTTTCGCAGGATTTAAGGAAAACTGATAAAGTAGAACTAGAAGAGATTATGTGAACCGTTGACCACACTGTGCAGCTGTCAGAGGGTTCTGTAGGACTGCTAACCACAAGCACACGGTCAGCGGTTCACACCCACTAGTCACTCCACAGAAGAGGTGAGGCTGGCTTCTTTAGAGATTTCCAGCCATGAAACCCCATACAAGGCCACTGTGAGTTAGGGTTGGCTTGATGGCAGTGGGTAGTAGCTCTAAGCATCTTCAGTCATGTGTGCCCGTGCTCCTATGCCAGAGATTGCACACTTAGTCCAAATCCCCGGAAATCGGTGCGGGAAAGGTTTGAGCCCCACTAGTTCTTTTTAAAAGCCCTAGAGGAACAAAAAGAGTGTCGGCTAGGGAACTAGGTAGGGAAACTCTCCTCGTACAGGGTCACTGTGAGTCCAAATTGATTTGAAGGCTCACAACTAGTCTTTGTCGAAAAGAAAAATGTTTCTTTTTATTTGGTAATTTTTAAGGCTTCACTTAAATTCACTTGTTTGTGGATTATCTTAGTCATTACATGAATTCACAACTTATGCTCAGAATCACACACAGAAAACGCCTTCATTGATAGATGGCTAAAACCAGAACCCAGAGCTCTAGTTGGCCTCCTTTTCCCCACCAAATGGGTCTCACGGTGGCTCCATGTGCATCAAAATCGACCCAGAGAGATCTGGTTCACACAGACCTCTAGCTAGAGGGATGCTACGATCTATTACAGTGTCCGTCCCTGCCCTGTTTGGCTGCAGAGTCTTTCTCACTGTGAGCTGATCACAGATGATGGAATTCGTCACCTGGGAAATGGGGCCTGCGCCCATGACCAGCTGGAAGTGATTGAGCTGGACAATTGCCCACTAATCACAGATGCGTCCCTGGAGCACCTGAAGAGTTGTCACAGTCTTGAGAGGATAGAGCTCTATGACTGCCAGCAAATCACACGCGCTGGGATCAAGAGACTCAGGGTAAAGATGGCTGCACCACTCTCCAGCTCTGGTGTTCTCTGCACCTTCTCTTTCTTTTTCTTTCCTTGTTTTTGTTGGTTTGTTTTCAGATTTATATTTCTGGGTGGTTTATCTTGCTTAGGCATTTAGCAGGAAGGAAGACAAATGGCAAGCAAACCAAAGTGTAGCTAGCTTTCAACTGTGCTTTGGACGGACCTTTAGTTAAAAGACCCCCTCAAAGGAAGGAACATACCCCCACCTCCGAGCAAGCTCTGCAACAGTGTCCAGGGCTTAAGAACGTCCCTGAGTCCAAAAGCGCATGCCAGGAAAGAAAGAAACAGCAGAGAGAAAGTATTTGGCAAATGGGATTTAATATTTCAATCTGTGTTTCCTTTCACATCAATCCCTCTTCCTACTGCCCTTTCTCTCCCCACCCCAACCCCCCCCCCTTTGAGACAGTAAATGAATTACGTAGATTTCCAACTGCTCTCTGCCCCACCCTCCATACTGAAGAGATTTATGCTCAGGGAATTGAGTGGCTTGCCAGGAAATGGGTACTAAAAGGACGGATGACTTTATATGTTAGATCATTCAGTTCAACAGACATTTATTAGAACAACAATTAAAATGTATGTGCATGCATCACACCTGCTGTGGGAAAGGCACTGTGCTCCGCCTGTGAAAAAATCTCTAATTTGTCACATGACCCCTGAACGCATAAAGCAGCACCTAGCCTAGCCTTACCTGCAGTTGCAGTTGGTCCTCCTGTCACCTCAGACTTAGAAGCAGAGGTAACTACAATGAAAGCCGTCTCTCTTCCACTCCCAAACAGAAGAGCCATATGTCCACCAGAGGCTACTCTTTGCCCAGCTTGCACGAGGGTGCCTAGCCCTGCCCTACCACGAATCTCTGTTTGTCTCCACATTCCCTGGAGTGGGTGTTTAGTCACGTCATTAGCACGTTTCTACTTTGACCTAGTTGTTTATGTGCGTGTGTAGAGTATAAACTCCGTAGGAGCAGGATTCTCATCCAACTGTTTTTATGCTCTCTCTTAACCAAATAGCACAGTGCCTGGAGTACAGTAGGTATTCAGAAACTATTTATTTAATAGACTAGAAAGTGCGTTACTAAAGGAAAGTAACGAGTTAGTTTATTTGATTAACTAGGAAAGACATTGTCCACAATGGCTTGGGGAAAAAATAATTGAAGCTTTCTGAGTTTCTTTCGAGTTGTGTGTCTGTCCTCTGTAAATCCCTTTTGGATAGATATGTTTCTTCCTCGGTTTCATAATTTTGGAATCATGTATCAAACAAAGTTATGTGAGCTTGATTTGGTCATTTAGAAAAGCTTAGCATGTTACAACAGCATATAACTAACTCCCTGTTGCCCAGCCTCTGACCTGCTTTAAAGCCCATTCAGCCCTTCAGTGGTTTTTCTTAAAAGCAACCTTGCTCTCTCTGTTGAAACCCTCTCTTAGTAATGTTTCTATCTTGTTTCAGACCCATTTACCCAATATTAAAGTCCACGCCTACTTCGCACCTGTCACTCCACCCCCATCAGTAGGGGGCAGCAGACCGCGATTCTGCAGATGCTGCATCATCCTATGACAAAGGAGGTGGTCATCTTTGGTGAACTGAGTATTTAATGACACTTCTAGAGTTACCGTGGAGTCTCGCCAGTGGAAGCGACCCCAGTGTTCTGGGCAAGGGTTACAAACGAGGGCGGTGTTCAGATTCCCAGGACTGCACATTGATAACGCGTACATACGTTCACCCTCAACCAGTCTAGCTCTGTGACCATGGGACTGAAGTCCGAGCTGGCTTATTTATCAAATGGATTGGTAAAGCTTAACCATTCCCGTTGGACATGCCCAGAAGAAAAGCATAGACCAAGGTAGAGGGAAGGGGGCAGTCCAGTGAACTCAGTGTTACTGCTACTGCAGTTGCTTTACTTTGTTGATGACTGGGGTCTCTGGGGATTTTGGAACAGCAGCTGTAGTCCTCCAGGGTCAAGAAAAGCAAACTATGACACATCCAGGGACCAGAAGGAAAATGTCTTTGCATCCTCAAAATGGCAGCCATCCGTTGTAAGAAGACTACAGAGCTTCTGTGTGTTGTTTCCATGCCAACCTGCTGAGCATGCTCACAAAGAAGGCTCATCCATTCCTCCTGTGCTTTAGTACTTTAGTATTTGGCCCAGAGGTTTCCCAAATGGTTGCATCGAAATCACTGTGGTCCAAGTGTGATGACTCACTCAGGCACACTTGTGCATCTGTCTTCCGTTTTCCGTGCTCCCTCCTGCCCTCTTGCTCAGTCTGTCGCCCCTTCACAGTCTGCGTGCTCACACTCAGTTGTTACTAATTTGCTGCTGTTGTGTTTACAGTTTGCATTTTGAATGATTAATTGGGGTTACCATTTTTAAGAGACTCATAATAAAATATTTTTTTAAGTCTAAATTTTACAATTGGGGAACTCTGCCTGAATCTTTGCCAGTCTGGAGGGAAATGTAACAAAAATGAGAAGATTATAAGAAGAAATTGAACTAAAACTATTTTGCTAAAAACAAGCTTCACCTTTTGGCTGCTATATATCTTGTGATAAATGACAGAGACCTGAGATGCCCATTCCCCTCTGCACATTTTTCTTCCATCAGACTCCACTAAAAGAAAGGCATTATTTGTAAAGTGTGTCATGGTAAGGCTCAAAGCTGAAAGCCCCCACCACCCAAGCTCAAACATTACTGATTAGCTTGGTCTTAGGTTCACCAGAATCAGTGTGATCACTGGCATCCCTAACTTAGGTCTATGGGGCTAGAGTCTTACTTGAAAGGGAGCCTACTGTTTCTTTTTCCCACATAGCCCATTAGGGGTACAGCAATTGCCCTGGAACAACTGGGCAGCTGTATTTCAATGTTGACGGTTTCCATGTCTAATGTCCGAGCCTCAAAGGACCAGAACTTTGAGCCATAATTAACTCTCTTCTGCTCACAACTTCCCTGATGAAACAGAGGTGGGCAGGTGGGAACAGAGCACCAAGCCGAGGCAGATGTTTCCTACCTCCCCAGCCTGGTCACTGCTTAGTGCTTAGTCCAAGAACTCCACCCCGCCCACTCCCCTACCCCCAAAAATCATAGATGCTGAGAGAAAATATACTTCTAAAGCACAAGAAATAGATATCTAAACCCTGAAGTTAAAAATCTTGTGCGGTTTTATTTAGGGGACATCTCCTCTAAAGGTTTTTGTTTTAGTACCTGAAAAAATCACCATACAATACCCTGATTAGGGAGTTGATGAGAGTTGCTCAGTTTGTTACGGCTACTAAAGTACTTCTTCCTTTAGGTGGGGGGGGAGTCCAAAATATCCTATTCACCAATACATGGAAGGTCTTGGGAATTCTCTCTCTCTCTCTACTCATGAAGGGTCTGCCCACATGCAGCTCCATGTGCACTTGTCCAGATGATTTCATCCTTGTAGTTTGATTTTATTCCTGCTGTTGTGGCCCAGAATCGACCCAGGTGAGAGTGTGTGAGGTACGCAGGATCAGCCTAGGGAGTCAGGTGCAGGAATCCTTTTCCTTCCCAAGAACGCTTCGGGTCCACCACATGTAGAAGGAAATATGTCTGGTGTGCCAGACTGCACCCCGCACCAATTGATGCATGTGCTACGATTTTGAGAGTACAGAACATGGTAAGTTCCAGTCAGATGGAAAGGGCATTAAACACAATTGCTTCCTGCCTTGACATCTGGAACATTCTTGAAATCCAGTATGTCTTAAAGGGTATGTCCTGGGGGTTAGCAGATTGGTGCATTTTTCAAGCCCCATAGCGCCTCCAGAAAACGCCATCTGTAATTAACGGGGTAAGAAGTGTGAAGAAACTTGGGTACATACAAAGGTACCTTTAAAGCTATCGCCATAAGCCTGCAGAAGGCCACAAGGAAATATTGCCATGTTCCTGGAGAACGTGTGCAGGCATGTAGATTCTCTCATCCGTTACACAGTCCACCAAGCACAGGCACTGGTCTGTTACACCCTCTCCCATTGGCCCATCAGACAGATGACAGCTTGTTTTTGTTTAGTGCGCTGTTCCCCTCCTTCCCACACCCTCCTCTCGTACCAGGAGTGAAAGCGTCCATCCCACTCCCACTGATGCTGCTGCTTCCTCCTCATCCTCTCCCAGTGTAGCTTGCTCTGGGTTTTGCCCTGGGCAGCCTTGAATTCAGTCCCTGTCAGGTGGCCCGGCCATTTGTTCACTGGGTGGGTTATTGGGTTTGAAATCTAACTGTTGGCTATGAAGAGTAAGGGGATCTGGCTTCGGGCTTTTTCCAATATTTGGAATATAAAAGCACATTTGTGTTCTTATTTATATGGAAAAGTCTTTCCCTTCTCTCCTCTTACCTTTAGTGGGGATAAAAGGATTCCTTAAATATTTTTTGTAACTTTTCGGTCTGATTTTCACATCCATTTACTTGATTTAGCAGAGGTGTAGAAATTTTACATATTTTTTGTATCACACATTTTAGAGGGAAACCTAGCAAATACTTTTATGAGGCTTTATTTCGGGCTTTCAAGGCTATTTGAACAGTTTGGTGTAGCTGTTTTACTACAGCAGCCAAGTTATTTCACTTCTCCTCATTGACTTGTAAGATGCATTCTTGCTCATTTGATAGAGGGGTGGGAGACTAGTGGCTAAGGAAACCTACCTGGTTTGTTGAATTGCAAAGAAGTGTCAGAGTGTTGCCTGGAAAGAATAGGGTGGTTTCTGCCTGGCTATCTGGGCAGCCTGTCCTCAGGGGACACTCAATTTGGAGAGGAGAAGCACTAGCACTCACCTCCTGGTTGGCCCTTGGCTGTGTTTTGTGGATTGTGCTGAAAATCAGACCATGCCTGTTGGCACCAGTGAGGAGGCATTTAAAGGAATTATTCTAATCTTTTAGCTTTTCTCTACCTTGTGTGCTTGATTTACGGACCAGGATCCGGGTTTTGCATCCTGGCAAACAGTATCTTTCAATGATAGGCTCTGGGATTCTAGAACATTTTTATACAAAGATTGCCTTTCGTTCTAGTCTGTAATTGCCTCTAACACAGGCCTTGTTTATTATCGGGTCTTTGAGACAAGGATGTAAGTTGACGGACAATCTTGAGGCAGGCCATGTGATTGCTACCTGCAGAGACCTAAGGTTTCTTTTTCCTCCAACAAAGCCCCAGCTGCTCTACCCTGGTCATCCTTGCACTTCCACAGAAAGGACCCTTGGAGGCAAGTGAGTGGTCAGCGTGGAGAACTTCTGCCCTCGTGTGTCTGCTATTAAATCTTGGAACTTCATTCTGCTCTGAAGCCTTCGGTCCTTAATAAAGTCAGTAACGTACTTCTTGGCTGAGTCTGAGTGAATCTTGGGAGCCCACATGCATACACATCGCCCATCTCTCTGCCTCTTGTGGCTTGGACGAAGCCGTTGGTAGAGAGGGTCTGGTTTCAGGTGTTGGGTCTCAGGACTTGTCTGGCTGAGGCAGTCCAGAGGAACCAGGAGCACCCAAAACGTAGTCCAGTCAGTCTTTCTGTTTGATGTTTCCAGGCTCTGGTTTTGAAGAACTCAGTGGAGGGGGGGTTGAGGCTTAAACTACCAATGAGGTTTAAAGTAAAGGAGATAACCAGTTGTAGAGCCGGGTCCTTTGCCTCCGGTCTCAGCACCTATCCTGAATCTATATAAATGCAACTCCCTCTCATCTGGGTAGTTTCCTCTCTGCTTCACCCTATGAACGCTGGGCCCTTCTTGCTGGCAAGGATTTACAGTGGTTCCAGAGAGGCCTTCTCCCACACACCCCTCAGCAGTCAGCCAGCTGGGTTAGACATCACTGCAGAGATACACACACCCCCCCAGCTCCGCTTAGCTGCTGCTGAGGGTGGTGGTTTTGTTGCAGGACCAGAACAAATGGGATTTCCACCCCAGGAAGAGATTGTGGGAGACATGCCTTCGCTGTTCTGCCCAGGGAAATCTTGGAAGTGAGTCCTTCTTTTGGCTGTGGAAGAAAAGTTTGTCCCACTGATTCTCTTGTCTCTACTTAAAGCTACCTATTAATTTAAATCTGAACCACACTGCTGCTCACGCATGTCTGTCTTACCCTAGCCCAGTTCCTCGCGGGCCCTGCACTCATTGTGTGGGGAGGGAAGTTGTGTTTTTAATGGCACTAGAAAATGAGAACCCAAAAGAGGTTTGATTTGTTTTTACCTTCCTCCCCCAAAAAGCTTGAATGATTTCTTTCCTAGTGCTGCGTAATAGATATATAAGCTACACCTTTGCTGCTACTCTCCTGGGTTTGCTCCCCGCCCTCAAGAATTTCGTTTGCGTGCTTCTCTGATGACTGTTAATTTCTAATAAGTGCAAGAAGAGGTGAGCCCAAGATCTCTTCTCTTGCTCCCCCCACCCCTCACCTCACCCCAAAATGACAGACTAACCTCTCACTCTGGGAGCCTGTTTGCCTGTGTGCAAAGTCTGTGGGACGTGACTATGGGGATCTCCCAGTCTCCTCCATCCCTGTGCTGCAGCTCTCAGAACTGACCCCAAAGATCTATAACTAGCCCCTCAGAGGAGGACTGGCTCGGAAGAGAGGCCTTCTTGTTTGGCCTGTCTCCATTCTTGTTTTGACTCGGCCACAGGATGCCTCCCACTCTCACCTCCCATTCTCCTCCCTCGATCGCTTCCCAGTAACCTGCCCTATGCGCTTCCTTCCGGCTCCCCTCTGCCCACCACTCTGTCCTGAGAAAGATGGCCTGTGCGGAGCTCAGTGAGCTGAGGCCTGCCCTGCCTGTCAGACTGCTGGAGGACAGAGATGGAGGGTGAACAGTGCTGGAGACGTTTGCATCTTCAAACTAGGCTCGGTCTTTCCTAGAACACACATCCCCACCCCCGCCCGTGAGCCCTCTCCCCTGATGGGGTAAATGTCAAGGGTGGTGAGCCAGCAGGACCTGATCCCAAACCTCCCTGTCTATGGCCTGTGCCCTGGCAGACTGGCCCTGGCGCGCTTCAGGGTGGGAGCCGCTGCTTGCTCGTTCCTCCACCAGGCCTGCCCCAAGCTTAGCCAGCCCTGGGGCCGGCACACCAGGCTCCATCAGCTGTCTAGTGACTGTGTCCACTCCGTTGTTGGACGCTTGAGGGAGGGTGGGGGGAGGGCTATTTAAATAAATAAAATCCAAGGTGGCAGTGGAGGATTCCTTTTGCTTTAAAATCTTTGGACTCAAAAAGAAAAAAAAATGTTTTTTATATATAAATATATAAATTGTTATGTAACTATTGTTTCCTGTATGTTCTAATTTTGTTTTATGATGTAATTAAAGGAAATAAGCTGTGAAGACTTTTCATTTTGCTGCAGAAATCGCCTGACTTGGAGCTGTGAGCAGCAACAGCTTCCTGGGGTGCTCAACTGTCAAGGCTCCTGAGGCCACGTTGGGTGGGGGTGATGGTGGTGGATGAGAGGGGCTTCCTTGGGGCATCATCACACTCTAGTCTTGAGTTAGTACCCTGAACTCCATTCTCCCTAAGAAAAAAAGGTGGCTTCCTTACGTGATAAGTGGGAACTCCTTTTTCTCTGCAGAACATTGCTCCTACCCTAACTAGGAAAGGGTTGGGGGTGGGGGGCAGGGCAGGGTAGTGATTGAACACCAGATTCCAAATTGGGATGGCCTGGGTTCTGAATCTTGCCCTGCCATTTTCTTCTAGTGTGAGCTGGCCAGCGGCTGGAGGCTTGGCCCTCAGGTGCAGGCGTCATGGGCGACATCAGCGAGCAGCACCTGCTCTAGAAACACAGCATGTCAGCCATCTCCACACCGTGTCCTTCGCTAGACTGGTCAGTGCAACCTAGCCCCCAGGGAGCTCGCTGCTGTGAGACTCTTCCAACTCACAGCGACCCCTTAAGGCTGGGCACAACTGCCCCTGTGGGTTTCCAAGACTAACTGCAAGAGTAGAAAGCCCCGTGTCTCCCTCCCTCCCTCGGAGCAGCTGTCGGTTTTGAACTGTTCACCCTGCGGTTAGCAGCCCCACAGTTCGGAACCACTGCAAGAGGGACCTCGGCGCACATCACAGCGTCCCTGTTTTGGAGTCAGAGCTCGCTTGAAGGCGCTCATCCTCCATAAAAGGAAGACTGGGTCGAGATAGGGCACCTGAAGCCAGCACTGCGCCACCCCACCCCACTCCCAGGATGCATGCAGGTCCCAGCTCAAGTCTGAACTGAGTCAGCCCTGGGCCACCCTTGGAGGTCCTCTGTCAGTCTTTGAACTTCAAAGGATAAGCAGGTTTCCCTTCCCGCATCTTCTTTATATCATCTCTGCTGGCATTTAGAGCCTTCCTCCTTTCTCCCGACCCTAGTCAAGAGTCCAGAGAATATCAAGAATAAGTGAGGGAAATGGGTCATAGGACAGACATTTTTAAGAGGTCACCTTGGCCCATTGTCAAATTAATGCTTAGGAGATCTCCACAGTTATTTCGACTTTGATGCTTGAAGTTTTTCAGATGGGGAGGGATGAGGAAAATAGGAACAGGTTAGGATACAGCAACACCATTTTTCAAGAGTACTTCATTGTTAACTCTGAAAAAAGCGAGCTCTACCTCAACACAAAGCAATTTCAGGTGTATGCAGATCCTAAAAAGAAAACCAAACCGCTGGTGACCTCTTAAAAATGCCTACAGGTTTGGGGCTTTGTTTTCACTGGTTACTTTTGGGGGGAGGTACAACGGAGGATGGCTGTAAAATCTAATAACATTTTAAAAGTAAGCCTGCGTACTGTCGTTGGGCTGATTCTGACTCGACAAACTGGTGATGGGCTCCTCTTTGCCCCAAGCTGACGCCGCTACCTTAGCATCTTGGTATAAGGATGGGGTTTTTTTTAATAGCTAAAATTGAGAATAATAAAGTCGACTCAAATTTTAAAACACCCTATCACCTCATTACTGTGCGTTCAGCCACAATATTTCCAAATCCATAGAACTGAAGAGTTAGGTAAACAGCGGCTCTAACGTGGCCTGGTCTTCGGAGGCTTCAGTCATAGTTTCTGCCAAACTCATTGGAGGGTGGTGTGGGAAACAGCTGCTTCCTTGCCCGGGTCCATAGAAGGCATTTCTCTTGGAGAAATAACACATTGAAAATCCACATGTACTTATTTAAACTAACATTTAATTTAACAAGGGGTGACGACAGTTTTAAATCAACATGCATTTGACTCTTGTCCAGTAGCCAACACTGCTCATGCTCCAGCTCTTGTTCCATTTTGCTGAGGTCTATGGCTTTTTGAGTGGGTTTTGCTGCATAAACTTTGCCACTCAGTCGAGTCTGGGCAGGGGGCACTGTCTGAGGCCCCCACAAGCACTGCTGCTGAGTTGAAAGAAGGCCGTGTGGCATCTGCTGGTCAGTCAGCCAAGCTTCTGCTGAGCATGGCCCTAGAGAGCCTTGGGGGACAGGGTCCCCTAGACCTTGGTCAGGACCAAGTAGTAGCCGTCTGAATTCGGCACTGGAAGCAGTAAAGAGGGCACCATTGGACTGAGGCAGGCCCTCCCAGCCGCCACCACCCTCGAGCAGCCGGAGTGCATCTGGAGCCCAGGTGGTGGTCAGCTCACGTCAAATCCACCCCTCTGGGTGGTGGTGTCGAGCAAGCCAGCACCAGCCCTAAGGTCCAGTGAGTGTTGGCAGGCAGAAACCGACTTTCCAACAACAGAAATGGGGGTGTTTTTCTTGTGGGGTACACTTAGCCAGTCACATCTTTCCTAGGCTAAAAATAGCTGTGAGCCCTGTGGCTCTGCCTAAGAACTGGCCCTCAGTAGATGGGTCAGCACCTCACATCGACACCCTTAGGGAGCCTTTTCATCTCCTTTAGGAGGCAGCAGGCACTCAGCATAAGCTCACCCCTCTATCGGCAGCCAGACATGGTCCATCTGCGCCCTCTAAAACCCCTACCTTTCTTTGCTATGGCCACAAAGTAGGATTCATCCTTAAGATTCTGGACCACCTGCAAGGGAGAAGGGATCATGGGCTTGATTGGTAAAGGAGGGGGAGATCACACAACCAAAGAAAAGCCAGGGCTCGGAATAGGCTGCAGGGAAGCCTCCTGGGAGGAGGAGGAGGAGGAGGAGGAGAGCAAGGCCTTGGGCAGGGTTTACCTGGTCACTGAGGTGAATGAGGATGCCCCCTGGGCCCTGGTGAAAGAGGCAATGGATCTGATTGGCTGGGAGGGCCAGGAACTCAGCCAGTTTCCCCATCAGCTCGACAGCACTAAGCTCATCCAGAGAGATCTCTTGGTAAAAGCCTGAGAGAGGGCAGCACAGGAGCAGGAGTCAATGGGGAAATAAGGCCCCCGGGGAACACCTCAGATTGGGGAATCTCCAGTATAAGACGGTAGGACCCCTGTGCATGAATAATGGAAACACAAGTACATACGAGATGATGTGCTAACTCCCATACTATAGCATGACAATGGGGATGATGAGTAGAACATGGAGTAAACCCAGGGAAGAGGACTGAACTGGTAGAGAAATGCCAGAGGGTGAGTCCTGGGTCCTAGGAGTGGCACAGCATCACCCATTCCCCAGGAGCATTTTCACCTGCAGCCAACCTGTATTTTTGATCTGCAGGGGCACGGGCTAGAACCTCACCTGGGTCATAGTTCTTAGAAACAGCATTCTCTTGTCTAGGGGCCTCTTGAGCCACATACAGAGTCAGGCGATGGCAGATGGGCCTGGGCCAGGGAAACAGTCCATGTATCAGCCCTTCATTTCTGCACTGGAGTTTCCAGCCCCCACTCCCTGGGAGAGTCCCTGCTGCCTCCTAGCCCTCCGGGAAGAACACCAAGCATTCCTTAGCCACTTAATGAATGTTGGGCCTGGGGCTAGGAGAGATGAGGAAAAGCCAATCCTCTGCCCCTTAGAAATTGAAGGCTGATGGGGTGGCCACAGGAAGGAGGGAGTCAGAGAAGCTTGACCAGCCCAGCCTTGCCAGCCTTGCTCACGTCACTCTCCTTGGCCTGAGAGTTCTCCCTCTGTAATAGGGATTGTGACTATGTGGTCTTTTAAGGCCTGACCATTCTCTGAAGCCTCCCTGCCAGCTGAGTTGGTAAGGACCACTACAGAGGAGGACTTGTTTGACAGTGCCCGGCACCTGGCTCTAAGAGTATTGAAAAGGCGGATTCCATCAGCAGCTCCGCAGATCTGGATGAGGTCCTGACGGGTGAGCTTCAGCAAATCGGTGCCTGCAGGTCAGACAGGGCCAGATTGAGGGAGGCAGGGAAGATGGTGCTAGCTCCTGAATGATGCCAGGAGCCCTAGTGACATAGGGAGTTACACAATGGCCTGGTAGTTTGAACCCACAAGCCACTCCACAGCAGAATGAAGAAGAGCCTTTTCTCCTGGAATCAAGATTTGCACTCTCAGAAACTGACAGGAGCCGTTGCTGTGAGTTGGCATCAACTCGATGGCAGTGAGTTTGGGGTTTGGTTTGTATTGTGCCTGGGTGTAGGAGTCCTGTTGGGACTCAAATCCCAGCTCTGCCTGTGTGTGACCTCGGGCAAGGTGCTGAGCCTCCACAGGGGCAGCGGATGAATGCTGCGGGATTATATCCGAGGAGACAGCCCAGCACAGTTCCCGACGATGCTTGAATCTTCAAAAAAGGTTAGTTGAACAGCAAACCACGCCCAAGGCGGACTTCCCGCCTCAGTGCCCCAAGCTTGGTCCCCTATAGGCTCGGACTGGCTCACCAGTGAAGTTGGCCAGCATCCGGCAGTAGCTGGAGAAGCGGTGCCGATGCAGCCACTGCTGAGTCTCTGGGATGGAGGCTCCAGGAGTCAGATCCTGAGGCAGAGAGAGGGCCACCTAGCTAACACCCCGGTGTGGTTTCCCTCGGGCAGCCCCAGTCTGGGGCCCAGAGGGAAATGAGAAAACAGCCCCTGCGTCCGTCCGGTTGCCTGGTCAGAGGGGAGGCCCACCATCAGAGAGTACTGCAACCTGTGGCCGTGTCACATCCTTCCACCAGGGGGCAGGGTAACTCCATCCCAGGAGAGAGCGGGGAGGACCCTGAGCGCGCTCTGGGGTAATGGTGCGGGGTTGGGAGAGGACGACTCACCTCGGCCGTGCTGCCCCCCACAGTCTCCAACGCGAACGGCGGTGAGGTGCTGAGCCTGCGAGGAGCAGCAGCGACTCAGGCGCTCCGCGGCCAGCGCAGCGGCACCGGGACTGCTGGGACTTGGCCTATCCTCCTGCCCGAGCAGCCGCCGCAGCTGGCTGAGCGCCCCAGGAGCCCGGGGCGCCGCGCGCTCCCCGTCCTCACCTCTCAGGGGACAGGAGCTTGGAGGCGTGAGGGGAGGCCAGAGGGCCGGGAGGTGAGTGGGGCCCTACGGTGAGCTCGGGCCACGGCGGACACTGCGGAGGAACAGACGACAGGCGGCTCTCCCAGTTCCCGGCGCCGCGCGGGCGGCTCACCGCCCCGCCCATCCCGCCGCGTGGGGGCGGGGCCTGCCGAGTGGGCGGGGCTTCCGCGCGACGCCCGGGGGTGGAGGGTCCTGCGCTTCCCGGGCAGGTGGCAGGGCGGCGGCGCGTACAGAGCGCTGGGGAGCCCTGGTGCCCAGTGGTTACAGGTCGGTCTGCTAACCCCAGGGTCAGCAGTTCAAAACCACCAGCCAGCTCCGAGGGAGAAAGGCGAGGCTTTCTACTCCTGGAAAGAGTTGCAGAAACGCACAAGGGCAATTCTATCCTGTCTTTTTTCTTTAATCATTTTATTGGGGGTTCCTACAACGCTGATCACAATCCACACGAGTTCTACCCTGTCTGGTCGGGTCGCTATGGGTCGGCATCGACTCGGTGGCCGTGAGTTTGGTTTTTTGGAGAGGGACACAGGTGAGAGTACACAAGAGGCGCCACCTGGGAGAGATGAACTGCGGCAAATGGGCAGAAGTGTCCCCGGGGCCTGTGTTCCTCCTGGAGCGGGCCCGGCCGGGCGACTCTCCCAGCCCGCTGCCCCGCGCGTGCGCGCACACACCTCCGTGAAGACCGTGCTGTCACACGCAACCTGGTACTTGTCCCTCTCGTGCAAGGGCTGCTTCTCAACCTTCTCTCGGTCCGTTTTCAGTTTCCGGTCAGCTCCTTTGGGCTTTGGGGAGTGACAAGGAAACTTCAGAGTCCCCCACCCCCCTCACCGACCACTTCCTCTTAGGAGCCTCCTCTGGATAACCTCTGAAGAGGATCAAGCCCTCCCCTCCATGTACAGAGGGGGCCGCCCCCAGAGGACTCACTAGCTGAGGGGCCACAGCACCAGAACCTGGCAGCCAGGGAAGCAGGGTGACAACCCCGGGCGTGGGGAGAGTCAGCGCCGCCTGTACCTTAAACACCTTGATGAGACAGCCGGCGGAATGCAGGTGCTCCGCCGCCAACTCCTTGTCACTGGACTTGAAGGTGTCGATGTGGAGGCGGAAAGGGACACCTTTCTCTCCACCTTTCTTTCGGGGAGTGAACTCGGTGCTGATGCAGTGAACCTGAGGTGGAGAAGGACATCGGGAAGCCAGGGTAGCTGGGGGCCTTTCCCACGGTCAAGGAATCCCACCCCACTCCTGTTAGTCACCTGCCTGCCTGTTAGCCACTGTCCATCCCCAGCCAATGTCAGCTGTAAGACAGCCCCTGTTCTGAAATCCCCAGGGTCTCCCCATGGAGGTGGGAGGAGGAGCAAAGTTCCAGACTGGCATCCAAGTACATACATAGGCCATCTCTCCCGGCCCAGCTGTTCTCCCTCACCCACCGATGGACCACGGACACCACCCCCACCCCCAACACACCTGCACAAACCAAAAGACAAAACAAAACTTGCTGCCGTCGCATATGGACAGACCAGAACGACCCCTGTGGGTTTCCAAGGCTGCACATCTGTACCAGAGCAGAAAACCTCATCTTTCTCCCACTGAGTGGCTGGTGGATTAGAACTGCTGCCTGTGGTGAGCAGCCCAACGCATAACTCTGCACGCTACCAGGACTCCTTACTAGTTCTCCTCAAAGTCCTCTCCCTAGAAAGCGCTCCCCATTCCAATCCGAACCCTCTCCAGAGTATGGCTTCCAGATAAAATTCAAGCTATCCTATTAAGTTTGGATTTCAAATAAAAATCGACTGATTTTTGTACTAGTGTGCCCCCGATATTGTGTGGGACGTGGTGGGTGTTGGTTACTCTCGTGTCAGTTGCAATTCAATGGAAACCTTGGGTGTAATCGAACAAACTACTGTCCGGTTCTCTACCATAACCATAACCACAGCTATATTTCAGTCCACGGTTACAGCTATTGTGTCACCTTATGTCACTGAGGGTTTCCCCGGCGTTGGTAACCCACTCCTTCACCAAACATAATGTCCTCATCTACCAGTTGGTCCAAAGTAAGCAAGCTATGCCTCACCATCCTTACTTGTCTAAAATTCCACTTTGACTCGGTGTCCTGACTCTTATTGGCCAAATCTAGGAAGCCTTCTTGCCCTGTCATCCTGCTCAGTCCCCAGCCTCTGGATTCTGCCTGATGCCAAGGTCAAGTGGGACCTTCCCTCACCCCCTTCACTTGCCCATTGCCCATCGTGGCCCTCCGACGATCCTGTGAAGAACAGTAAAAAGGCCTAACCTTATGGATGAGCAAAGTAAGGCTCCCAGAGATGATTTGACCTGGGCAAAGCCCATATGGCCAGCAATTCCACTCCTGGGTATCTATCTTTGAGAAATAAGAGTGGACGCATGACCTGATAGACAGACACACGCTTGTGTTAGCACTAGTCCCAATAGCGACAAGATGCAGACAAGTGTCCATCGGGGAGGGATCGTTCACCTGTAGCACATATACACACACACCAAAGTATTTCCCAAAGGTAAAGGACATGATGACGCTCACCTCCTAGCCTGGATGAACCTGGAGGACATGATGCTCGTGGACTCAATCAATCACAAAAGGGTCACTACTGTATGAGACCCCTATCCTAAAAAAGTCAAGGGAAGCTTTCATACTAAAAGAAACATTCTTTGATGGTTACAGGGGTGGGAGGGAAAAGGAGAGTGAATTACTAACCAGAGAACAGACACATCTTAACTTGGGTGAAGAGGAAGGTTAGGAACAAGGACTCTGATGGAGCCAGCGGAAGACCCTGGAAGAAGTGCATGGGTTACAGTCCTCTAGTGATGGTGGTCTACCAGGGGATGCACACAGAGACTCTCAGGCTGGACAGGTATGGGAGGGAGAGTGGGACTTTTTGAAGCCCCCACAAACAGATATCTGAGAGGACTTCCAAAAGTTCAAGGAAAAATGAAATTGAGAGATGATGGGATTTTTGTTCCCCCCCCCCACAACTTTTTGAAGGTCCCTCCTATGACAGATATTTCTAGCGTGTGTATCTAACTGTGCTGCAAATATGTCCATGAATGTAGTGGACCGAGGGGTAAAGTTAGTTAAACAAACAAACCAAAAAACACCAAAAAAAAATCTAGGAAGCCTTCTTGCCCTGTCATCCTGCTCAGTCCCCAGCCTCTGGATTCTGCCTGATGCCAAGGTCAAGTGGGACCTTCATGACACCTGGAGGGACTAAGCTCAGGACCAATGGGACACCAAGGTCATGATACAGTCCACAAAGACAAAGCTCTGCATCCTACTTGGGCAAGTAGTGACTGGGCCCTTAAAAGCTATGAGCAGCCTTTTACGGTGTCACGATTGTTCTTCCTCCGTCCCCAGTAAGCAGGGTGAAGGAAACCAGAGACAAGTGGGAACCGTGAGTCCCATGGACTAAGGGACTGAGCGCATCGGCCTCCCCAGCGGAAGTTGATGGCACCTGCCTACCGTTACCAACTGCTCTGGAAGGTCCTGAATAGAGAGGAAAAGCCCCCCCGCCCCCCTCCTGAGACTATGGCCTTTAGCTCCCCCTTCAGGGCTGGGCTGATCTCACACCAACTATGTCTCAATTTCCAGCCAAACAAAAGGCAGCACTGTCTGGGGAAAGGGGGACACCAGGCAGGTATGCACACCTTGGTGTAATCAACCCTGTGAGGCCAAGGGAGCAGCATTTAACCAAGGACAAAGCTCAGAAGGGTCGAGAAAGGCCGAGGAATGGAGACAGGAGGACAAGGATGTGTCACACTGGGAATTGCAATCCACAATATTAACAAAATGTGTTTGAGTTAGTGACTGGGAAGCTGGTTTGCTCTGTGAACCAGTTAAAAACGCAGCCAAGTCCAGGCTGGGAAGTGGTAGTGCTGGATTTGTGCCATGTCTGCTCTGCGGGCTGCCAGTCCAGGTGCTTAAACCACTGTGAATTTCCAACAATGGGATTTACAAACAAAGCCTGGCTCGATTATAAAGGGAAACATGGAGATCCCTGAAAAGACTGAGGGAGGAGCTTCTCATCACCCCCCTCTGAGAGGCAACATTCCCGGATTATTCCATCCCATCTGGAAAAGTGCATAATACACACGCCCCTACATACAAACACTGTGTACACATAGAACCGAACTTTACATAGACACCTGTATTCTGCCTTTACTGAAAGGAAAGCCCATGTCCCCTGCCAGGACGTATTTTTCAGAGAAACTTCCAGTGGCGACTCATCTGCCCTCATTTGTCTGGACTGTAGCTTAATTATAAGTCCGTCCTTTTTTTTTAAATCAATTTATTGGGGCTCATACAATTCATCACAATATATAGATCAATTGTGTAAAGCACATCTATACATTTGTTGCCCTCATTATTCCCAAAATTCGCTTTCCTCTTGGGTTCCCGGAATCAGCTCATTTTCCTTTTTTCCCCTCCCCCTCCCTTCCTCCTCCCCTCTCCCCCATCTACCCTTGATACTTTATAAATTATTATTGTATCTTATATTACACTGTCCGGCGTCTCCCTTCACCCACCCCTCTGCTGCCCGTCCCTCAGAGAGGAGGTTATATGTAGCTCCCCCTTTCTACACCCCCTTTCTCTCCTGGTATCGCCACTGTCACCCCTGGTCCTGAGAGGTTCATCTGTCCTAGATTCCCTGTGTTTCCAGTTCCCATCTGTACCGCTGTGCATCATCTGGTCTAGCCAGGCCTGCAAGGCGGAATTGGGGTCCTGGTAGTTGGGGGGAGGAAGCATTTAAGAACTAGAAGAAGGTTGTGGGTTTCATTATTGCTATACTGAACCCTAAGTGGCTCATCTCCCCACTACCCCTCTGCAAGGTATGTCCAGTTGTCTAGAGATGGGCATTGGGTCCCCCTCCCGCGCCCCCCTCACTGACAAGGATATGATTTCCCCCCCCCCCAGCCCATCCTTTTCTAATGGACATTTTGATAGTTTCGATTCTTTCACTATGGAGTAGTGTATTTCCATGAAGCGTGGGTAAGTAGAGTCACGCACACTGCTCAGGGATAAGTTCTAGGTCAAAGTAAGTCTGGACGTTAAATGTAATCATGTTTGCTGCAGTGTCACGTGGGAGCAGCGGGAAGAATCTGCATTCTTCTGATAGGAAAGTTCCTGCTCTCCAAAATATTTCCAATAATCATTTCAAGTCTTAAGCATTTTTCTGATTGGATTTTGTAACTTTGAGCTAGCTACATGGATTTGCCATTCTTTTTTCCCCCCAGATTCTTATGTAAATCACCTGCTCACCTCCTTGGCCCATTGTTCTATTGCGCTTTTTTCTATTTCTTCTCACTGGTATAGAAGAACTCTTTATGTATCAAGGATGGCCTTACTGTAACACATTATTTGTATGTCACATGACACATTTTTTAAATTAAAAGTTTGGGTTTTTTAATTGTGGTAAAAGATACATAACAAACTATGCCAGTTTTTTTAAAAGGTGATTTTGTGGGCGAACGTGTGCAAATCAAACTGGTGTTCCACCCATCGGTTCAAGCACGTTTTGTTGTGTGACAGTCACTGCAGTCCGCACCACATACCGCAGACACCCCCTCTCAGGTAGCCCCTCGTCCCCAGCAAACCGCCCTTCCCATCCCCTCTGGCCAGTGGTTCTAAGGAGTGCCTTCCTGTCTGGTCTTGCAGAGTGTCCCAGGGCCTTGGTCTCCTGGCTGGGGCGGGGCGTGGGGCGGGGCTGAGGAGTGGTTTTCCCATTGCTGTCTCCTTTTCATCTCGCCTATTGTTGGCAGACCATGACGTCTTGGGAAGCTAAATGCTCCCGGTTGGTCCTTTCATTCATTGCTTTAATGTTTAACGTGACCTACCCCATGCTGAGGCTCGCTAACCCTGTGTTCCTCCTGGGTGCTTTTGGGAGGATTCATTCTCATTGTCCCTTCACCCCACCAAATATGCCTTCCTTTCTCCCTTAGGCTGCTACCACCCCAGGGAACCCCTGCCTCCTCCCAGGCCCCTGGCTCAGACTCACCTGCAGGAAAAGGGAAGTCTTTTTAGTGGGGTCCCAGTAAAACTCCACCGTGTTGAGCTGTGAGGGCAGCATTTGGGGTTCCATCACCCCCACAGACAATGGCACGTCTGCAGTGAACAAATGGCAAGGGGGCTCTGTCCACAAGGGCTTGCCAACCAGAGAGCAGCCCCTGAGGGTCCCTGGTTCTCCTCTCACCAATGTCCAGGATGCGATCCCCAGGCCGGTTCCATCTCCACCCATCCAGCTGCTGCTGCTCTGTGTACTGCAGGCGTCGGTCATGGAACACCACGCGTACCACACTCTGCAGGCACAGCATGGCACAGCCAGAGGTCAGAGGGTGCCAGGGCATAGGAGGGCACAACCAGAGGTCAAAGAGTGCCAGGGCACAGCCAGGGGTCAGAAGGTGCCAGGGCACAACAGGGAACAACCAGGGGTCAGAGGGTGCCAAGGCATAGGACGGCACAGCCAGGGGTCAGAGGGTGCCAGGGTTGTTGGGTACCAGTCCCCATACCTGGGGTAGACTAACTAGCCTGCCCTCTCCACTACCTTCCTTCACATCCCTGGGAGGCATGAAGAACTGGGAGCATCACTAGGTCTGTCTTCAGGCGCCCATCTGCACGCGCCACCCCTGAAGCTGGGGAAGTGACCTGGAGACATGGGGTTAGCCCCTCCCACACCTTCCTTTGCAATGCTTCCCACCGCTTTGTCTCAACAAGCAGAAAGCACCTTCTAGGGCAGTTTGGGAATTCTGGACGGAATCATCTGAATGAGGAAGGATGCGTAAACATATTTGCGCACCTCAGTCCTGTTACCTACGCCCTGCTGTGCGGCCTTGAGGAAACACTTGGCTTCCAGTGCCTCCATATCCTCATCAGTCCCTGCCCTCCCTCGGGGAGCTGCCGGGAGGGTCTGAAACGGTGGCCACCACACGGGTGACTCTGGCTACCTGTGGGGGGCGGGGGCGGGGGGTCAATTTGACAGCTCCAGGGAGGGCTGCACCTACCTTGAGCAGTCGGGGACACTGGGCAGCATCCCTCAGGTTGGCGGCGCAAAGCATCCGCACCTCATAGGACTGGCCTGGGGGCAGTTAGGGGGGCGCTGTGTGAGCCCCACCGAGGCAAAGACGGTGCCTGGAACACATACCACCCCACCCCCCCCATCCCGGGGCAGTGGCCGGAGCTGGCGGCCCCTCCCCCGCCCCGCGCACCCTGGTTCAGGTAGGTGAGGGCCTCCTCCTGGTGCTTCACCGCCGGCGAGGTGGCGGCACAGAGCACGTACTGGAACGCGGGGCAGGGCGGCTCTGCGCCGGGGACGCTGGGCAGCTCTTCCTGCTTCAGGTAGGGCAGCGGCAGGGGCTCCCTGCAGAGACAGCAGGGCACTGTCAACCCAGCCCCAAGGGGTCCTCCCAGAGAGCCCGCCCCTTCCCCGGCTGGCTCCTGTCATCTGGAGGTGCAAACCCCAGATTTGGGGCAGTTCTCCCAAACAGCTGGTGTTTTGCAGCCTCGGGGCTCGCCTGCGCCCCAGCACACGTGTCCTGAGGCCTGGGGGCTCTGAGTGTGTAGAGCTGTCCCAGGACGCACTCAACTCCGGACCGATTTGACCCCGCTCGCCCCCGGAGGTACCAGGTACAGGAAGTCTAGTCCCCGCAGCTGGGAACCAATGGCCTTCTCTAGGCCCCGCCCTTACCTCAGCAGGCTGCCAGGACCGGCGGGGTACAGCTCCCCGGGACTGGGCCACAAGTGCTCCTGTTGGTTGTGCCAAAACAGCATCTCCGCGTTGAGCCGGCAGTGCGATGGAGAGCCGAGCTCGGTCGGGCTGGGCCCACCTGGGGCCTCAGCCTTTATACACACAGACACACCGGCTGGAGGGCGGGGCAAGGTCGGGGCCTCTCATTGGAGCTCTAGAACACTCGGGCGCAAAGGGCAGCCCCAGCCGGGGGCGATCAAGACCCCGAGGGCCCCTGCCAATCCTTCCCTTGAAGGGGAGAGAGTGATGCAGAAAACCCAAGTCACAGGGATGGCTCACCCATCCCCAAGAGCCCCAGGGACACAGAGGGGCACCCTCCAGCTTCAAGGCTGTCCCCAAATCTGTGGCCTTGAAGAAGCCTGGGCCCCTCACACCATCTGATGGACGGGCCAGGACAAGCAGTGACCATATGGACCCACAGAGGCTTTCGCTCAGTACTGGCCTCCCTCGTCCCCTGCTCATGCATGCTCACATACAAAACACAAGTGCACGCAGGAGCACCCACACAGACACACACCAGCCAGCCAGCGCACGGGCCAAGATGGCAGACCCTGTCCTTTTGCAAGTGGGAGGGGGGAGGTGACCTGATGGAGGGGACTGGGTTTACAGAACACAGTCCGAGTGTTGTGGAAACACCTGCAGGGGTGGCGCTGGAGAGAGAGCCCACCTGCTCATAGGAAGGAGGGGAGGCACCAGAGAAAGCTCCCTTTGCCTGGGAGATAGTCCTCTGGCCTGGGCCAGAGGGCAGGTCTTGTTTATGGATAAATACAGTCTGCCTGGGGGAGGGCTTCCTGCCCAAGACCAGCACCTGTTGTCCCCACACATAGCCTCAGCCCCCTGCACCCACCCGCCCACCAGTGTGTGGCATATAAACAGATCTAAAGGTGTGTAAAAAGCAGAGACAATGTGGGCTGGCCTAGGGTGCCCCTGGCCCTCTCGGATTCGTGGTTCTGGGACTTGGAAGTCAGGACAGGGAAGATGGAAGAAGTGACCCCCTGCACGGCATCGGGCTCCCCCCTCCCCAAGTCCTAGGCTGTTGAACCTGTGCATGCTTTCCCCTCGCGGGAGGCCACGCCAGATGGAAAAGCCCAGACCCCAAGCCCCTTGCCTCAGAGTCCTTTCTGACACACTGTGAGCTCCTGTATGCAGAGTA